AGTACTCTGAGAAAGCTAGCAGCCCCCACACACCCCTGTGCTCCTCCCAGCTGTGGGAAGTACTCTGAGAAAGCTAGCAGCCCCCACACACCCCTGTGCTCCTCCCAGCTGTGGGAAGTACTCTGAGAAAGCTAGCAGCCCCCACACACCCCTGTGCTCCTCCCAGCTGTGGGAAGTACTCTGAGAAAGCTAGCAGCCCCCACACACCCCTGTGCTCCTCCCAGCTGTGGGAAGTACTCTGAGAAAGCTAGCAGCCCCCACACACCCCTGTGCTCCTCCCAGCTGTGGGAAGTACTCTGAGAAAGCTAGCAGCCCCGCGGTTCCTGTGGGTCTGGATCCACAGCAGCATGGTGTGCTGCTCCGTGAGCCCCGTGGGAGGCACAGAGCATTAGAAACGCTTTGGATTCCATGCGCATCACATCATATGCCTCTTCTTGCAACTTGCCTCTTAATTTTACTGGACTTGTAAACTCGTGCGCACCTACACTGATTGAAACATGCCGAGCAAAAGAGGCATGGATCGGGGCAAAATTAATCATCTTTCTTTACCCACCTCCATCCCATAATAGCAACTGTCAACAGCTGGGCAGACAGCTTTCTGCACCTTTTCTTCTGCTCACGTAAATGCACACATGGGCTCGGTGCTGAGAGAAAAGGCAGGGAAAGCTCAGGGCAGACCAGACTGCCCGGGGCTGGCCACACACCCAATCTTGGCCTGTCTCTTGCTACAGAAGGTGAGAGGGAAGGTAGTAAGATCCTGTGTTAACTCCCAGCCTGATGAGCTTCCCCCCACTCACACCCACTCACACCGCATCCAAGCTGCATTCATACCTGGCCCTGTGATCCATGTCCGGTGTAAGCTGATGAACAATAAATGACTTCGGCTGGATGGGGTGGGTGTGTGGTGGTGGTGGTGGTGGTGTGTGTGTGTGTGTGTGTGTGTGTGTGTGTGTGTAATGCCATTGGTCAGTTGGATGGCCACAGAAAACCAAATAACCTCTATAGCAAAAGAACATAAGACCTTTGAAGTCTTCCCTGGCCAACCATTCTCCATAGAATTTCTTCCAGACGATAAATAATCTGCTTCCAGGTCCAAGTATGTGTGAGGCCTTTGGAGGCCGAGTTGACGTGGCCTACCGTGGCCACACCTGTGGCTGAGAAGAGTTCAGGGTAGTGCTTGTTTGCTGACCACTGGGAAGGAGAACAGGAATGCCAAGAGGGCTTCTAAGCGCTGGCATAGGGTTCACCTTTCAAAAATGGAACAGGCCTAGACATGTTGTAGTCCAAGCTAGATGGAAACAGTGTGCTTTTCCTTGCCAAAAGAGGGGGGGAAATCCAATAATTAGAGCTTATTTATTTCTCTCCCAAATTAGTTTCATGTCTCTGCAAAGTGGTGAGAGAAGCTATACATAAGACTTGGGACTTGTCCCAACTTTCAACCTTGGCACTGGTTTTAGGAGAGATATAAAACGTGCTGGGACTTATACATCCAGATTTAAAATGATCTTTAAGCAATCCTCCAGCCGTTAAATTCTATGATTCTGTTATATCCATTTTCCCCCTAACTTCCTGCCTCAGAGCTAGGCAAAAAGAAACTCTCTAACCTACCTTGTCTGACAACAGGTCGTAAGACTACCCCCTTCTAGAAAAGGTCCTGCCATACCCAGAAAGGTACTTACGGAGTAGGCCACAAAAAATACAAACAGATGGGCTTTACTGGGTGAGCCCCTCCATTTATCTATGTCACACGCCCTCCATGTCCAAGCACACCTCTGCACACCTTCTCCAAGCTAAGCAGAAAAATTGGTACTTCACCCTGGGTCCTTGCGTCTTCCTTCGGAAGGTCCCCAAGTCACGCAAAACTATGACTGAATTAATTTGCTGGGCCTCTCTCTTGATGATCTGTCTTTTGTTACGGGGATGTCAGCTATGGCCCCTCTGGTAGCAGGAGAGGGACCACCTGCCTTTCCTCCCCAGTAGCAGCATCCTTAGCTTTTCAGGGCACTTAAGAACTCACCACAGCTCTGGACCCCTTCAACCCCATCTCCAGACTCCTGTGTTAATCCCAAAGATGGGAGGAGAAAGAACACAGACCCAAATCCTCATGGCCAAACTAATTACAGCAACATTTTTTTAATTCATGGGCTCCGGCTGCATCCCCTTAAGGCAGGGGTTTGAGAGGTCAGCATTAGATACAAGGAAAACAAAGATTTCATAGCTCAGGGGTAGGGGGTTTCCAGATGGGAGATCTGGTGGGCAAAATGGTCAGGGTTACAGGAGGAAAACAGAAGCGTAACAAGTTGATCATAACGACCTCGGGAAACAAAGACATGTTGTAAGGTGGTCAGGACAACAGGTGGCCATAACAACCCCTTTAAAACAAGAGTAGAGCTGTAAGACGACTGTTAACTTTTTGAAACAAAGACATGACTGCCATCCCTGGAGCAGGCAGTACAGAACCAGTTGTAGTTAAGTTTACAGGCAGGGCAGAGCTCAATCCCTGAGAGACAGAGGTTTAATCATCAACCGGAATGAACTTTACTGTAAGATGGCTTTAAGCCTAAAAAGGAGGCAGGCCGGCTCTCCACCTGGCCATTCTTTCCTAGACGCTTCGGCAAGCACCCTTTTAGGGTTGTCACTCAGTGCCCCCCCATTTGACTGGGAAATCTCTTTTAGGCTTCTCCCCCGTGCTGTCCATCTATCAGAAAACCTTCAGATCCCACAAAGGGACCTTCTGGGCAGAAAGTAGGTCCCGTGGCGATTTAGGCATCGGGTTTCTCCCAGCAGTTTCCCCCAGGTAGCACCAAACTAGCAGTATAAGCATAGTAGATTATTTGAACTAATTAGCAATACTAGGGCATCTTTAATTTCATTAATTAAAACAGAGAAAATGTTATTTTAAAAAATCGGAGGGACTGGAGAGATGATGGCTCAGTGGTTAAGAGCACTGGCTGCTCTTGCAGAGGACCCGTGCTCACTACCCAGCACCCCTGCAGGGGCTCAGTGCTCACTACCCAGCACCCCTGAAGGGGCTCAGTGCTCACTACCCAGCACCCCTGCAGGTGCTCACGGCTCTTTGTAACTCCAGTCCCAGGAGCTCCAGCACGCTCATCTGGCCTCCACAGACACCTGGCATGCACACATACACGTGCAGGCAAAACACCCCACATGTAAAATTAACAATGAAGAGGATGTGAGTCTGAAGGGGGAGTGGGAGAGGAGATGTGGGCTGAATACATTGTATACATTATATATATGTATGAAGCTGTCAAAGAATACATAAAACATATTTTAAAAGCAGAGAGACAATAATGCATTCCCAATCTATCCAGATCCCAACCAATACTCTCTCAGTCACAGAGATCCACCAAGAAACTCTGGAAAAAGTTGCCAAAATGCCATCCAGGACCAGCAGCCCCACTTGAACTTGTTAAAAGTGCAGATTCGCAGACCCACCCTAGACCTACAGAAGCCATTCTAGGACAGGAGCGAGCAACCTAGGTTTTAGCATAACTTACAGTAGATTCTGAAGCTTTCTAAGGTCAAAGAAACACTGATATAAAGCATTTACTAAGCACCTATTTAAGTTTTTAGGCTTATTTATTTTATGTGTATGAATGTTTGCCTGAGTGTGTGTGTGTGCACTGTGTATGCGTGTGTGTACCATGTGTGTGTGAGTGTGTGTGTACTGTGTGTGTGAGCATGTGTTTGTGCACTGTGTATGTGTGCGTGTACCGTGTGTGTGTGAGTGTGTGTGTACTGTGTGTGAGCATGTGTGTACCGTGTGTGTGTGTGTGTGTGTGTGTGTGTGTGTGTGTGTGATCCAGCCATCTTTCCAGCGTCAAGCATCTAATTGTTTAACATGGAATGAATATGTAGTGGCTGCTTTTGGTGTAAGACACATTAATATTGCCTTGAATATTAGGCATGAATGACATTTTCCTTTCCCATTGTTAACCCTGAGATTGGAGAGAGGAAAACCAGTTCCCCAATTTTGAGCCAAATTTGAAGCAAGCTTTAGTTAAATACTGTCCAGGGAGATGGATTCTGGCCTGATTCACCCCTGGGTTCCCATGGGATGGTCTCAAGCCATGTTTTGCAGGGACTTAAACAGGCAAACCCCACAATTTATTACCTTTCCCATCAGGTCCAATCAGGGGCAAGGACACATCCCGACATATTCCCTGCCTATGTATGGCCTGCCTACAGCCAATCAAGCACATCCAGTGTAAATGATGTGACTTGTTGTTTCCCAAGAATTATAGTTCCCAGCATTTCATCAAATTATCTTGTCCTTGGGTAAAAGGAGCTTACAGGTTAACTTTGACTCTTCTGCCTATCACAAGAACACTATATAAAAACAATGTGTTAAAGATTCAAAGTTAACATATATAACGCACATAAATAATTGCATTCACAAGTTTAATCTCGTACACTTTTCCCTCCCGTGGTACATGTCGGCACTCATTAACTTTTCTCCTTTTAAATGTGTATGTTAATAAGCAAACACCTTTCCAGGCCCTGCTTTACTTTCCAAGCTTCTTACAAGCATGTTCACAGTCTAAGAGCAGCAGAGAGCCGTTCTGCCAGGAGAGCTGAGTGCCTCGCCCAGCCTCGCGCTGAGGTCCTAGAGGTGTTGCTGGAATGTGGATTGTGACATCGTAGAAATGTTTGCCAAGTTCAGAACAAATGTTCAGAGAGTGAGAGTTCAAAGCGTCAGATATCTCACTGGAGAGGAACAGTAGTTCTCTCTGAGGAAAGTCACACCCCACCTCCCTTTTGGCTAGATGGTACCACGAGATTCTGGAGCTGCCCAGACCCTGGGCTCTTTTCAGGAGCAAACATCAACCTTTTGGGTCTCCCAGTCACACTTAAACACTGTCATGCCTTCTCCTGGGCCAGGCCACCCTGCCCTGAAGTCAACACAAGGCATTGCTGTGGGCCTGCCAGGAGTCAGGCCAGCCTTGTCACCACTTGAGCTGCAGAACACAAGGAAGTTAATTTGCTGAGTCATGGTGAAGGAGTGAGTCTCGGAGCAGGAAGCCAGGAATAAGGGGCACTGGCCCCTGTGGGTTTCCAATGCAGAGCAGGGAGACTTTGAGGACCTCAGTCTTTTGTCCTAGAAAGGCTGCTCCCACTGCATAGTGCCTTGCTATTGTTTGAAGCAAATACTAAATCATCATCAATGTATGTTTAAAAACCAATTAAGTGGGCTATTTAGATCAACTGCTGTTATTTAGTTAACTAGCTAGTCAGTCGAGACAGGATCTCACTATGTAGTCCCGGCTAGCCTTGAATGTGTGATCTCCTGGCTGTCTTCTCCGTGCCCGGACTTCAGTTATGTACTCCAGGACAGTCCAGTTTACATAAACTCTGTGAGAAAACAGATGCCCACGAGTTGTTCTGCAATCTCGCGTGAACCCACCCCATGAGTAAATAAGAGGAAGGAAAATCCGATTTTAAAAGGGAAAGACTCTGGCCCTGCTGTTGTGGGGTGACCGCCGGGCACCAGGGACTGCAGTGGGGTCTTTTACACACAACAGCACTGTCTGAGATCTGGGTCAGCACCCTCCCTTCCGCACCACACTGGAAACCTTGAAGTACCGCGCAAATGGGGGCTGTGCCGGCTTCTGAGAATGAAGGAGTGAAATGATGGTATCTGGTTCTCAAGGCTCATCCAGGGGAATTCATGGCACCCACCCCCACCCTTCCCCGTGACAAAGAACATTTCTTGCCTCATGGGACATCTAGTAGACTTAAGGTAAGGGGTGTGTGTATGTGTTTGTGTGTGTGTGTGTGTTTGTATGTGTATGTTTATGTATGTGTATGTGTGTGAGTATGTGTATGTGTGTGTATGTCTATGTATGTGTGTATGTGTGTGAGTGTGTGTATGTGTATGTTTGTGTATGTATGTGTGTATGTGTATGTATGTATGTGTGAGTGTATGTGTGTGTTTGTGTGTGTATGTTTGTTATATGTATGTGTGTATGTATGTGCGCATGTATGTGTATGTGTGTGAGTGTGTCTATGTATGTATGTGTGTTTGTATGTGTATGTTTGTATATGCGTATGTGTGTGAGTGTGTGTATGTGTATGTATGTGTATGTGTGAGTGTGTGTATGTATTTGTATGTGTATGTATGTATGTGTGAGTGTGTGTATGTGTTTGTGTGTATGTGTATGTGTGCATGCGTATGTGTGTGTATGTGTATGTATGTGTATGTGTGAGTGTGTGTATGTATTTGTATGTGTATGTATGTATGTGTGAGTGTGTGTGTATGTGTTTGTGTGTATGTGTATGTGTGCATGCATATGTGTGTGTGTATGTATGTGTGTATGTGTATGTATGTATGTATGTGTGAGTCTGTGTGTGAGCACCAGTGTGTGAATGCACATGGAGGCCATGTCAAGTATCTTTCACAGTCATAATCACTACATTCTATTTTACTGCATTTCCGTTTATTTTGTGGGGAAAAGGTGTATACATGTTACAGTGCTGACATGAGGTCAGAGAACAACTGTGGGAATCAGTTCTCTTCCCAGTGTGTGTGTCTCGGGAGTCTGCTTGTTAGTTAGACTAGGCGGGAAGAGCCTTAACCTGCTGGCCGCTCCTCCAGAACCTGGGACTCACCTACACAACTGCTCTTAGCCTGCTGACTGCTCCTCCAGAACCTGGGACTCACCTACTCAACTGCTCTTAGCCTGCTGGCCACTCCTCCAGAACCTGGGACTCACCTACACAACTGCTCTTAACCTGCTGGCCACTCCTCCAGAACCTGGGACTCACCTACACAACTGCTCTTAACCTGCTGACTGCGCCTCCAGAACCTGGGACTCACCTACACAACTTCTCTTAACCTGCTGGCCACTCCTCCAGGACCTGGGACTCACCTACTCAACTGCTCTTAACCTGCTGACTGCTCCTCCAGAACCTGGGACTCACCTACACAACTGCTCTTAACCTGCTGGCCGCTCCTCCAGAACCTGGGACTCACCTACACAACTGCTCTTAACCTGCTGACTGCTCCTCCAGAACCTGGGACTCACCTACTCAACTGCTCTTAACCTGCTGGCCACTCCTCCAGAACCTGGGACTCACCTACTCAACTGCTCTTAACCTGCTGGCCGCTCCTCCAGAACCTGGGACTCACCTACACAACTTCTCTTAACCTGCTGACTGCTCCTCCAGAACCTGGGACTCACCTACACAACTTCTCTTAACCTGCTGGCCACTCCTCCAGAACCTGGGACTCACCTACTCAACTGCTCTTAACCTGCTGACTGCTCCTCCAGAACCTGGGACTCACCTACACAACTGCTCTTAACCTGCTGGCCGCTCCTCCAGAACCTGGGACTCACCTACACAACTGCTCTTAACCTGCTGACTGCTCCTCCAGAACCTGGGACTCACCTACACAACTGCTCTTAACCTGCTGACTGCTCCTCCAGAACCTGGGACTCACCTACACAACTGCTCTTAACCTGCTGGCTGCTCCTCCAGAACCTGGGACTCACCTACACAACTGCTCTTAACCTGCTGGCTGCTCCTCCAGAACCTGGGACTCACCTACACAACTGCTCTTAACCTGCTGACTGCTCCTCCAGAACCTGGGACTCACCTACTCAACTGGGCAAGACCGACAGGGCAAAAGCATGGGGATCCTCCCAGCTCTGCCTGCCCAGAGGCAGGCATGCACTACCACACCCAGCTTGCCCATGGGTGGTGGGGTCCCACTTAGGCAGCAAGCATTTTACCACCTGAGTCAGCTCTCCAGTCCCTAGACGTCTGTGCTCTAAAGTGCAAGCTCATTGGCAGAGGAGGGAAGCCAGGGAAGACCACGGGACTTTCCACACGACTGAGGACCCTGCCAAGGAAGGATGCTTCTGGACGGAGACTGCGCATAGACTGTGCATACTCCCTCGGGGGCCTGGGAGCCCTGAGCTATAGAGGAGGCTTCCTGTGAGCTTGACAGTAGGAAGGGAGCAATGGCGCAGCCGGATTAAGCCGTCCAATGCTTGGCATTGTGTAAACTCCAGGACTCCCACCAGGACCATGGAGGAAGGGGCTACTATAGGCATGGCTGCCTTGGGCTTCCTATTAGTTGGCAGGAGGGTGCTCATAGTTGGATATATCCGAGGGTTTTTGTTTTTGTTGTTGTTTGTAGGCAGAGCTTCTCTGTGTCCTGGCAGGTGCTTCCAAATAACCACACAGGGACTTAATATTATTTATAAAAGTTGATAACTGATAGATAATTTAAGCTTGTTTTTAGCTGGCTCTTACAACTTATATTAACCCATTTCTATTCATCATGTGCTGTCCCGAGCCTCATGTACGTACTTCCCATCCTGCTCTCTCTGCATCTCTTGGTGTCTCCTCCAACTTCGCCCCTCTTCTCCGCAGCATTCTCTCTGCCCCCAAAATCCTGCCTAGCCATAGGCCACTCAGCTTTCTTATTAACAATGAGAGCAACACGACCTCACAGTGAGCAGAAGGGTTATTCCACAGCATTTGTTTTCGCTTTTTCCAGAAGAAATAGGACGTTTCTTATGCCCAAATGTTGTGAGGCACATTAATCCTTGTTGGATTTGACTACGGATAACTGTGACTGTACAACCTTCCAGCAAGCCAGAGGCCCCGAAGGAAGCCACACAGCAAAGGGGCTGTTGGGTGGGGGGGTAAGAGAACAACCTCGCTGAAGGATACGCAAAGACTCTTGTTGGCTAAAAACTAACAAGGAAGACACACAGGACAAAGACCAAATGGCAAGAACTCCTGTTAGCATAGGAGAGCCTGCCAGGGCTTTGTGCGGTCTGTGGGTTGTGAGAACACGGTCAAAGCAGCTGGGCTGAGTGGCCGCACCGGTGCTTCGTAGCCAAACACAGCACCTACTAAGCTCCCCTCAGTCAGTCCTGCAGTCTGACTAAACCGGGCTGGAAATTCAAAGACTAGCCTTGGCTCCATGGGGCCATAGGCTCTTCCAAGATAGGCAATTTGGCTCTAAATGAAGGAGACCCCCCCAACCCAATCTCAGATTCCACAATGAATATCATTGAAACTAAACGTAACTCTGCTCTGTGATCTTGAAAGACAGTACTCCAGTCCAGTGTGAAAGGCATTCCCCAAACTGAAGGCAGTGTTCCGCTTTCTCTTCTAGGGAATACCCCACGGGGCGTGTCTGGGCTGCTATCAGCTGAGCTGTTGCTGACATCGGGGTGTAACAGGTCCCCATGGGAGCCGTGGAGGAGAGGACAGACACAGCAAGCGTCCGGCTGCAGAAGGAATGAGACAGGGACAGGAAGAGCCCAGGAAGCACAAACACGGCCTTCAAGTCCCTGCAGCCAGTCCTTTCTGAGACTCTCACCATTCCTGCCCCGGGGTTCTGGGATACACCTATACATTTGTTCACTTTTGTTAAAAGGAGCTCTCATTGGTAATTTGCAACCAACAAGCGTTAATTACCCCACTAGAAACAACACACTCAGAACCAACAATGTGGTGACTCAACCATATTCTTTCTAACACAGAGCTTAACATTTCCACCATTTTAGGTGTACAGTGTGGCAGCATTACATATTCACCTTGCTGTGAGTCAAAACTCCCCTCCGTCTGGTCCTCCACGATGAGTGTTGCCAATAATAAATGAGTGATGCTGTCTATCAGCATTGAGACGAATTTAACCCCATGTACTTTATTTATAGTCCTCATTTGAGTTTAGTTTTGGTGATTTGCTTCTGGTGATAGTAGAGTTTAGGTCACTTGAAGGTTACAGTTAAACCAGTGTCCAGCACTATATACATGGCTCCTGTCTCACAAACAGTTGCTCTTAGTTAATATCCTTTTGCCAAACTCCACAGACAGCTTTATTCCTATAACCCTAGGTTCCCTCTTTACGTTTTTAATGATTTTTAAATTTTATTTTGTATGTAACAATGTTTTGGCTGCCCTTATTGCTGTGTGCCATTTGCATGCAGTGCCCACAGAAGCCAGAAGAGGGCATCAGATCCCTGGAAACTGGCATTACGAAAGGTTGTGAGCCATCCTATGGGTGCTGAGAACTGAACCCAGGCCCTCTGCAAGAGTAGCCAATGCTTCTGATCCATTCTCCAGATCCCATCCCCCACCCCCCACTCCTCCACCCCCCACCCCCGTTTTATATTTGGCAAGAAAAAGAACTAGATATTTATCTCTCCAAGGAAAGAAGAGTTTCTTCAAGCATCCCATGGCCCCTGCATCCTAGATGGTATGTTAGAGGGATTCAATCAGCCCGGGTGACTTAAAACAAAGATTTATTTCCTTTGTATCCTCCTGTTTCTCAGGGGTCAGCTCACTCGAGCAGCTTCTCTCTGAGCATTGCCATCCCAAGGCCGTGGGAGGAGGACTTGGTGAGATGCTCACTTTCAAAGCTATTCCAGGTCTACCTCAATGGCTCCCAGTTTCTAACAGCTTCACTCTCTCGTTGTTCTCACCAGAAAGAACTCATGACGGGCCTCTGACTTACATATACAGTGGCACGTGTGTGCCTGCACACACACACACACACATACACACACACTCATGCAAACACACACACGCATGCACACACACTCATGCAAACACACACACACACACACACACGTCCACATCATATATATTACAAGATAGTAATAAAATGAAGTTTAAAGGTTTTCTAGAAGTATAATAAGATACACCGTGATGAAAGTGACACATTGCAGAGAGGTGGCCAGCGAGCGGCTGTGCTGTGACCTGGTGTGGAGTTCCGCCAGCTGATTTATGAGATGTTGAATTTGGAAAGCAGGGGCACTCATTTAAGCATGACAGTCTAGAGCATGCAAAAGGATTTGGATTGGCACTATTTATTTAAATTACTATTTTCTTACTTAGGGTTTCTTTTGCTGTGATAAAACACCATGACCAAAAGAAACTTGGAGAGGAAAGGGTTTGTTTGGCTTGTAGGTTGCAGCGTCACAGGGCAGGGACTCAGGGCAGAATTCTGGAGACAGGAACTGAAGCATAGACCGTGGAGGGGTGCTGCTTGCCAGCCTGCTCCTCGTGGCTCGCTCAGCCTGCTTTCTTACACAAGACGGCCTCAGGCAGGAATCATCTGCCCAAGGACCGCAGCACCCATAGTGATCTGGGCCTTTCCACGTTGGTCATTCATCGAGAAGATGTCCCACAGACTTGCCTACAGGCCAACCTGAAGGAGGCGTTTTCTCAGTTGGGGTTCCCTCTGCTACCCCACATGACCCTAGCCTCTGTCAAGTTGACGTAAAGCTTAGCTATCGCATTATTATATTTGCAGTGGTAGAGATGGGACTTGGGGCTGTGCACATTCTAGGCAAGCACCCATAAGCTCATTTCCAACCCTTAGTTTATTGAGACAGTGTTTTTGCTGTGTAGCTGAGGTTGGCTTTGAACTTGAACTCAGGTTTAGCTTAGGTTTTATTTCTGCTTTCTTAGTATGTTATATTATTATTTTGTGTGTCTGGATGTATTGCCTGCTGCATGCATGCATGTCTGTGCACCACATGCTTGCAGAAGTAACCCTCTAGAACTGGGCTTAAAGCCAATTGTGAAATGCAATGTGGATGCTCAGAATCGAATCTGGGGGTCTCTGGAGGAGCAGCCAGTGCTCTTGACCACTGAGCCATCTCTCCAGCCCTAGCTGGGGTTTTTAGAAGCTCAGTCATCGCAGATGAAGACAATCTGTGGCATGTAACAGGGAGAGGTGGCCCGTCCACAGGGAACTTTGAAACTAGACTCGACAAGTGTCTGAAAGTGAGCAGAAGGGCTTCTTGAGTGTCTGGAGGGGGGCAAGCCGTGCCTGCTTCCAGGAAAAGGTACCAAGGAAAACAACCACTCTGGGTCTGAAAGGGTAGAAAGATATTTGAAGCATAGACAAGAACTATGGAGACATTACACGCTCTCTCCCTTCCCTGCATTTAGATGGACAAGAACTGTAGTAATTGGTAACCAAAATTGCATCCTGTATCTACAGTGGAAACCAAAATTACATCCTTTATCTACAAAGTCCTGAAACAACACGCCCAAGACCTACAGTCCAGTGGCTTCCTAAGCTTAACTTTTATGACACACATGTGCCCTGGCCCAAGCCCTGCTGGACAAACGATTTACTCTTCACAGTGGCCCTGTCAGAGCTCCCACCAGACCACAAGCCGTTCCCAAAGGAGAGCTGGGGCTGAAGCCAGCATTACCTGCTCTGCCTCAGTCCAGCCATGAGATATCACTCTGACAGGGAGGCTGGGGCAGGGAGGGGTGGAGCCCAGGTAAGGTCCACAGGAAACCCCAGGACCAATTGTCCCCTGTAACAGCACCCATCCCTTTGTTCTCCCGTTGAGCTGGATTTCTCTACCAACTATGATGCCCTCAGTCACAAAGGCTAAGACCCCCTCAGAAAGGAAGAGATGGCAAACAGCCTAGAGGGTATGGCTGAAACCATATCCTCTGAAGCCAGAATGTTCCTTTGGGACTACTGCTAGCCTGTGTATGCTTTACCCCAAGAAGTGACGTAAGTCACCCCAAGGATTAATGAGTCATACGACGACCCCCAAATCATTTTGCTCTTCCCCTGCCTCCTCCCACCTTCCCTTCCTCAGCCTGAGAAGGAGAAGGCATGCTAGCCTCGGCCTCACTGTTTGGAGCAGCCTGTGTTCTGGGGCCTGAGATGCAGCTACTGTATAGAATAAATCCGGTTTTTCTAGCAGGGCCTTGGGTCAGCCAGCATCTACCCAGAGGTGTCAGAAAACATGATCTATTGTTACTTGGGGCTTGCCTGGGCTCACTCTGCAGCCCCCCTCTTGGCATCTCTGTACCCTGACTCTGGCACTGACACAGTCAGCTCCCTCACGTCTGACATCTGAGCCAGGAAGACTAAAGCCAGGCTCCTGGGCAGCCCCCTACCTGTGTGTGCCCTCCACCTGGCCTGCACGTGCCCTTGGCAGAGCTCAGAGGCCCCTAGGTGCACGTTGCAGTGAGAGCAGAGCCAGCCAGCCCACGTCTGAATCTTCCTTTTGCCCGAGTCTCAGAATTCAGAGCACCACCCCTCTGCCTCTTTAGGAATAGAAACTCTGGCTCTTTTTTTTTTTTTCAAGACCGGGTTTCTCTGTGGCCTTGGAGGCTGTCCTGGAACTAACTCTTGTAGACCAGGCTGGTCTCGAACTCACAGAGATCCACCTGCCTCTGCCTCCCGAGTGCTGGGATTAAAGGTGTGCGCCACCATCGCCTGGCTGAAACTCTGGCTCTTACTGGGAGAGTAGCAGGGCTTGGGAGGAACATGTGGGACTGGAAATAGTGACTTGGGGCTACTCCCCTCCCGCCTTCGTACTGCAGTATAATGGGCTAGGAGTGGTGGCACACACCTGTAATCCTAGCACTTGAAATGCAAGGGGTTTCTGTGAGTTGAAGGCCAGCTGCCCTGCATAGCAGATGCCAGGCTAGCCAGGGACACACAAGAGACCTTGTCTCGAAACAAACAGTGTGGGGAGATGGTCAAGTGCCTGCAGTACAAACCCAAGGACAAGGGGTCAGGGCTGCAGAGATGGTTAAGAGCACTGGCTGCTCGTCCAGAGGACCGTGGTTCAATTCCCAGAACCCACATGGCAGCTCAAAACTGTGCATAACTTCAGTTCCAAGGGATCTGGCACCTTCTTCCGACCTTTGTGGGCACTGAACACACATGGTACACAGAGATTGTACATAGACACTCATGCAGCCAAAACACCTGTACACATAAAATAAAAATAAACAGACATGAAAAATTTAGAGAATGACTAAGAAAGACACCAAATATAAAACCACAAATATGCGTGCCCTCATGCACACACACACACACACACACACACACACACACATACACTTACCATTGTAACCATTTTATTTGCTTCTGAGATAGGGTCTTGTTTACTTCAGCCTCATGGGTGGCAGGAATCATAGGCTGTCTCCACCATGCACAGCAAATCCTAACCATTTTTAAGCGTACACTTCAGTGGCACTGAGCATGCCGGTGTTATATCAGCAGATCCAGAACTCCACCTTCCCAGTGGGACTCAGCCCATTAAGCAGAAACTCCCCATTTTTCCTTTCCCCGGTCCTGGAAACCCCATTCTACTTCTGAGTCTGGCCAGTTTATGTAGCTCATAGAACGAAGCCACACAGCAGCTGTCCTTTGAGTCTGATTTACTTCCCTCTGGGGCTGACTTTGTGAAACACAATTGGCCACATTTCAAGGTCAAGGTCAGACAAAACTTATTCTATTTCCCATCTAAAATCACAATCAGCTGCGTTAAAAGTACATTGCCTAACTCAGCCCGCCACTTGTTTCTTCAAACAACCAGACAACAAGATATTCCAACAATAGACTTCTAACAGAGGGCTCAGCTGTGGTGTGGATATCCCTTGTCATTATCAAATCCCCTGGTGGCAAGCTCCTGAAAATTACTTCCTGTAGTGCATTGTGATAAACTTAAAGTTGAAAAAGTTAAGATTTATTTTTATTATTTTTAATTGGGGGGGCACGGGTGTATGACTAGAAGGGTGGGTACCCATGGAAGCCAGAGGACTTGGCTCCACCCAGAGCTTAGCACTTGAAATGCTAGACCACTTACAGGAACTTGTGAGCTGCTGATATGAATGCTGAGAACCAAACTCAGCGCCACTGCAA